AGCATACAAGTACAGAATGGTATTCAACCTCTTTGTATCTTTGTTTGCTTACATGACACATTCTATCTGATTTTACTTCTTAAACATATCTGCCATATCTATTTCAATTCGGAGCTGGAGTGAAGAACATCTAAGTGGAGCTAATGCAGCACGGAAATTTAAAATGGAAATTTGAAAGAAGGTTATCAATTTATAACTGGAAAAAATGTGCTGCATGCCAATCTTGCTCCTAGGATGATTTCAGTCTTTTTTCAAACTCAGATATAAAACTAGATACATTTTATACAAGTTCTTGTTACCAGACGTATCCGAAACCAAACATGTATAAAATGTCTTTGATATATAAAGCCCAGTTAGTCTTTTTTCTATTCACACAATCTAGAACTAATAAGTTGTAACATTTCTTCACATATCTGGTGTTAGGCATTGTAATTACACCAGTATTCAACAGGCCTTTAATATATGCATATAGACCATGGGATATCGTCCACTATCACCCCTAACTACATGGTTTAAGGACGATGTTATACACGAAAGAAACGTTTAAAAGCAAATATTTGTACTGTTTCAAATTTCTTTGTGAATATCCAGTTCCCATATTTCTTAACCATAATGTAAAAGTGGACTAATTTTGTGGCGTCAAAAATGTAAAAACATAGGTTACATGTGAGTGGCTTAATCACATACACAGATTTGAATACACCACAAACAATCTTCTTCACTTGTATAGCAGCATTACCAGCGTTTCGAGACCATGATAAGGATCTTGCGAAAACAACACCTACATATGTATAGAATTGAGCAGTTTCAAATACAAATACCATTTTTCATGTTTGGAAAGTATACCGCTATTTTTAAAAACAACATGTTTCGTTTATTCTGACTGACTTTCACAGAAACATTCAAAAGCGTTAATACGTTTTTGTAAACCATAAACAGAATCTGCAAAAAGCACTATGTCATCTGCAAAGAAAATAGAAATAGTTGTATAATATTCAGATGCATTTGTATCGCATGTTCACAGTTTGAGTCGATTTCTGAAGCTAACTCATTTATAAACATGGAACACACATCACTGTCTCTCACCAAATTGACAATCAAAATCTTGTGATAGATATTTGTATTCGCGTACCTTTACACGCTTACAGATGTATGTGAGAGCATTAAACATTTACGGTGAAACGCCTCTTCGTTTCAGTGCAGACCATAGCTTAAATCTATCAACAATATCAAATGCTTTTCTTACATCAACGAATAAGGTATCAAGCTTAGTTTTCTTGATATATAAGGGCGGTCGGGTAGCCTAGTGGTTAAAGCGTTCGCTGTCATGCCGAAGACCCGGGTTCGATTCCCGACATGGGTACAATGTGTGAAGCCCATTTCTGGTGTCCCCCGCCGAGATATTGCTGGAATATTGCTAAAAGCGGCGTAAAACCGTACTCACTCACTCACTCACACTATTGTACAACACAAAATGGCAATGCATGTTATATTATATGTTCAGGCTTTGAAACACATATCTACCCTCTAGACATCATAACATAACATTTGTGTCCTATATTATCAATATTATGTAGCTGTACAACTTGACGTTTGCATGAAAAGGTCAACTTTGAATTTCATTCATCTGAATCAATATGAATAGTACATCGTTGTGTCGAACTCTGATGTGTCAGATTTACGGTCAGATTCCTTCAAACTTCTCATTATTTAACCTCTGATAAGTCAAAGTGGATGTGTCGAAGTTTAGCTAGTCAATCATATTTATTTTTTAAAATGTGCAAACAAGGGAATTGATGCCTTCAATCTGAATAACATTCCCGCAATATTTTAAATTTCAATAACCACTCACATCTTTTCCCACCCGAAAACAATTTCTTCCAGGTTGTTCACTTTCAGGAACGTGCTGCAAAACCTGGACTTGGCAGCTCATGATGTAAATTCAACTACTTGTGGCTGCCAAGACTTATCATACTGCTACAACCTACAGTTCATATAATCACAGATGATTTCTCCAATGTTGACAATAACAACCTTCGTCAGTTAGTCAAATATGGATCAAAATAAGGGGAGCATCCTCCTACCGATTGGGATCACAACTTTATAATAATTATATATCCATGATAATTATGACTGTTGTGATGAATGTGCCAAAAATGAGCCAAAAGAGAATAGGAACCTGTTGAATGAATGTGGGTTAAGTCAGTGCGTGATGTTATCATTGGTAGAATACACAAACTTAAAAAGAGGAAACGGAATTGGTATAAACCGATTCTGTCCCAGCCAGCTGTCATCCAACGTCTGGCTGCCCTACATACGAAGGTCGTAGTTGTTCCAACTGACAAGGCCTCAGATAACATAACAATTAAATGTGAGTGAGTGAGTTGGGTTTAACGCCGCTTTTAATAGTATTCCAGTTATATTGCGGCGTATCAGCTTAATGTGGGAGGAAAGCCCGAAGTGATGCAAGTCTCAGACATTTACCACTTCGGTGACACCCACGAGCACGGGTATGGTGCTAACAAGCCTAGAAACATAATCAGGGCGAACTGGGATTCGAACCCACAATAATAGATTTGAGCATTGCGGGGCCTAAGACGACCGGGCCACCTGTGCCCCCCTCCATTATATGTAAGCATCACTATATTCATTGTTTGATCAGAGAACTTGGTATACTATATACGTGACACATCAAATAATGTCAATTACAAGGCCGGTTTGTTAACTGAGGGAGAAATTTGCCAAAACCATAAGTACGTCAGAACTGTAAACTTTTGGCTTGACTCTAAAACCTGAAGACATGTCCATTCCTCTTTTGTGCTGGATTTCAAAGCTCCATAAAGATCCGTACAAAGAGAAATATATTACTGGGTTCAGCAAATATTCCACCAAATCCCTGTCTCAAAGATTAACCATAATCCTTAATACAATCAAGGAAGGACTTTCTTTATATTCACAGAAAGTATTTGAGAAAAGTGGAATTAATACCATGTTGATTCTCAAAAACGCAAAGGATTTGCTTGACGTTTTGCATTCTCAGAAAAGAACCACGCTCCATTCTCGCAAAATATCTCGTTTCACAACTTTGTACATCACTATCCAAATGGACAAAGTTAAGGGAAAACCTCCATTCCTTGATCTATGGGGCTTTTGTTACAAAACGTGGTGACCACAGATACAGTTATATATCTATATTCGGAGGTTCAAGACTATTTGTGAAAAATTAAAGCCCTTGCCATCTGAAGTGTAGTGAGAAGACAGTACGTGAAATGCTGAACATCCTCACTGACAATAGCTACCTAAAATTTGGGTGTAAGAAATTAGGCAAGAAGTAAAGTTATTAAGATGTAAGCATAAAGATTCAGATTGACAAAACTCTCCATAAGACTCGATGACAAGAGATGGCTTCAACTTTCCACTAGTCAACTTTCCCTATATGTTGAGCAATATTCCAGCAGCTCCAGCCTTTGGTGATTATATTTCACACTTTTGGAGATACAATCGAGCAAGTTCTCTCTTCAAATATTTCAAAGAGCGTGAAGTTTGATCAAGGTTATAACATTCAAGGCCTCAGTAAAGTTTTCAAAAGGCTTCATGGTAGACATGTTGTGGACATTTCCAAATTTGGCGCGTAAGTGACAAAAAGTATGTCCAATGCAATCACCTATTATGACTTGTACCATATGTTTCCGTGGTTTTTTATCAGGTGAAGTATTGACTTGCCTTTGCATGTGTTTGTGACGGGTGCCACTGGTGCTGACCTTTTCGCGAACGCCTGGTCTCATTACTATTTGATAGTGGATCATAAACACATGCACATGGTATAGTCTGAATCGTACAATTGACACTAGATGTTTCTTTTGGCTATGCTGAGGGTTTACACTTCAATGTTAGTAACAGCGTTCAACACGTCAATGTCCGTAACAACATCAATGTAATAAACACGTCAATATCCGTCATGCCATGATTTTATTCCACATGCCAATGTCAGTAACAACATGAATTTATACTACACTTCAATGTCTGTAACAACATCAATGTATTCAAAACGCGAACGTCATAACTGTATTCAACACATGTCTGCGCAAACATTACATGAGAGCACCATGTGACAGAAGAAGATCAAGCATGTCTCCTCGATCCTGGGATATTGCTATCTTGGCTGCTGTTTGTCCTTTTTTATTTTTGGCGTTGATGCCCACCTTGTCCTGTGTGAGGATATATTTCACCACCTCCAAATGTCCTCCCCGACAGGCAAGATGAAGAATGTTTTCACGCCTTTGATTCACGAGTGACACATCAGCTCCTTCACCTACGAGTAACTCTACCAGTTCTTTATGTCCACGCAATGCTGCCACCATCACTGGTGTCCTCTTCTGCCATCCTCTACTGTTGATGCGCACCATGTATTGTGAGAGGACATACTTGACCACCTCCACATGTCCTCCCCGACAGGCAAGATGAAGGACGCTGTCACGCCCGTGAGTAAGGATTGACAAGTCAGCTCCTTCACCCACGAGTAACTCTACCACTTCTTTATGTCCATTCTCTGCTGCCACCATCACTGGTGTCCTCTTCTGCCATCCTCTACTGTTGATGCGCACCATGTCTTGTGAGAGGACATACTTGACCACCTCCACATGTCCTCCCCGACAGGAAAGATGAAGAATGTTGTCACCCTTTTCAGATACGAGTGACACATCAGCTCCTTCAACCACGAGTAACTCTACCACTTCTTTATGTCCGCGCAATGCTGCCGCCATCACTGGTGTCCTCTTCTTACATCCTCTACTGTTGATGTCCTCCATGTCATGTGAGAGTATATATATCACCATCTCAACCTCTCCTCCCCAACAGGCACAGTGAAGGATGTTGTCACCTCTTTTATTTACGAGTGACATGCTGGATCCTTTACTAACAAGTAACTCAACCACTTCTCGGTGCCCATTACCAGCTGCCAACATCACCGGTGTCCAACAAATCCACTCTTTGCACTTAATGTCCGCCCGTCCCTGGGACAAGATGAGTTTCAACTTTGACAGGTTCCCGGTTTCGGAGGCGATGTGGAGTTCGCAGAACGATGGTGCTGTAATATGAAGTTTTAGTCTGTACGTATCTTTGGCATTTTAGAGTTAAAGGGCTGAAGTTGCAAGACATTATCTAAGGGCGATAAAGCGAGTGTCTTTGTTTAGTCATCAGGACTGTTAACATGAACACCTTATGTCCGCATATTGTCAATGGACGAACTAACGATGGAGATCGGATAGATACTGATTACTTGGTGTGCACTTCGTAAGAGTCGAGATGTATAACTGAACATCCCACCACATGGCAACTTTTCTGAAGTGCATGTAGTATTATCCTCTGTGGTGCGAGAACGCGATGTACAGCTCCAAGGGCCAGCTTTTTGATGATGGCAAACGTGTGGATGGTCCACTTTTAGGGCACAGCACTTACACGCAGTTTAAGTAAACAAACAGATCAGTCGCGAGCAGTTGCAATGGTGGCTTCGGCTAATTTGCAGTATCAGCAATTGGGTATGTCAAATTATTCAAAACTTGTTTGTCTTATAAAGTGTATGTACTAAAAGAGGAAGAACAATCGAAGGAATAGTTTGTGAGAATATTCATACAGAGATAATTAAGCTGAGATTTCTTCCAACATTAACATTTATTTTTTCAGGTTCTGAAAATAGTAGAATGGTGTATTGTAATTGAATCTATCTGGGATTCCTTGTCATCACAAAACATCAACCATGTTCAAAATCCCTTTAATGATGAACTTGCCGCACAGCAACAACATTGCTCTCTGCAACATGGAACTTTTGAAAATGTCAAGTTTACACAAAATAAGAAAATTAAATGTGAGCGCTGACCCTGCACGCAATTTATGCTAAACATCCTGCTAGAGAGGACCGCTATAACGCGAATAGGACACACGAGGCAATGATTATTCAACTTTGCAGTAAATGTAACAAATTAACAGTTACTGACAATAGCCCATTAATACTATGTCATATTGATGTTTCTGTACCTGAAGAGTTGATATCGGCCGTGTTCCACACTGCTGTACATTTAAATACTCAATCAATACAATGATAAATAAAAGCGACAAAGGAAATCTCTGCCCAAACCCTTTAATTTTTTGCAACATGTATAATCATTATACTACATGCACATAAGCATGAACGTAATATTTTCTCAATTGGTGTCAACCTTGACAGTTCACTATTAATTTAGAGTTTTGTAATCAGTTTAACTCAATCAGCACTGACTTGTTAATATTCCATTCAAATTCAATATCCATGTATTTAAATCGAGCATGCTCATTCTACCAAGATTTTACTGTGCGTCATACGACTATTGTCCAGAAGTTTGTTCAAGTTTACAATATTCAAGGCCTCAGTAAAGCTTTCACAAGGTTTTATGGCATCAGTGGCAAGACTTATGTACGATGCAATTCCTTATTTGGACTTGTACCATATGTTCCATGTGTTTTTTCAGGATAATTATTGATTTGCCTTTGCATGTGTTTGAGATGGTGGGGCAGAATGCGCTCACCTTTTAGCGATCGCCTCGTGCCATTACCATTTGATAGTGCTTCGTAAACACATGCTCATGATTGAGTCGGGAATCGTGAAATCGCTCTGCTTTTGGCACAGATTTCCTATGAATAATTATGGAAAGTGTTTTGTTGCTTTTATTTTCTACACTTCTCACCTTGCGCACAGCACTTCCCACATCCCTTCTCCAAACATTGGGAAGTCTGATTGCAGACCTCGGATCCACAGGGTTTAGCCGGGGCCTTTAGACAGCAATAAAACAAATAAATGATTTCTATGATTTCTATAAATATGTAGTGTAGGGGTCGATATATGTCGATACATGACGTTTAATGTAAGGTGTAACATGGTCCTCAAGCCATTATACAAGCAATGCAAAGTAATGCCTCTAGAAACATCGGTCAGTTCTTCGTTTGTTACTTATCACACCAGCCGGCATTGTTTTCAGGCAAAGTGTGGACCTTCAACAATGACTTTCCCGGGAGTTATGGCTTTTCTGATATGAAATTGCATCACAGTGCTTCCCAAGCCATTGTCATCGGTTACCATGATGTCACAATCAAATGACTATCCTACTAAATTCTTTGTGACTGAAGGCAGTTAACAATGATACCACCTCCGCGTAGAGCGGAATGTCTGGGATTCGATCCCCGACCGCATCATACCAATGACGCAAAAAGGGGGTACACGCACAGACACACGCACATATACACAAACACACATACACACATATGCACACATGTCTAGACAAGGGTAATCCTAGACGCGGTTTTAAATCTCATTTCACCTCACATTTTACACTCAAGATTATTGATTACAAACTGGATTTGTTGTGAGAAGATATTTATTATCTAACTCTCCCGTTCGTTGATTTCAATAGTCACCTGGAGGTTTTCTGTCATCAACTCGTGCTGTTATATTTCATATCAAAAGATGCTCGGTGACTTTATGTCTCCTTCGTAAACAATCATGACTTCTGACTATTGGTATAGCACAGTTACACTTGAACTCACATTCACTGTCAATCACTGACAAAAATCTAAAATTCCCTGTAGCTAACAAAACTGTCTTCTTTGACTCTTGGTGAAATAGGAGATCGTGGTCGAATGTGGAGCGAGTGTCACAGCTTCGTATATACTCATTTACACAACTACACATCTGTACACATGTACATACACACTGACACACACCTCCACACGCTTCCTCCTGCACATATCTAAACACACTGACACACACCTCCACACGCTAACTCCTGCACATATCTAAACACACTGACACACACCTCCACACGCTTCCTCGTGCACATATCTAAACACACTGACACACATCTACACATATCTACACACGTCTACACGCACTTACACACATCTACACATATCTACACACATCTACATACACTGACACACATCTACACATATCTACACACATCTACATACATCTACACACACTGACACACCAACAGACATTTACACATACCGACACACATTTACACACACCGACACGAATGTACATATACCGACAGACACCGAAACGTATCCACTCAACTCTACATACCGAAACACACACATATCTACACATATGGACACACATCTACACACATCTACATACATCTACACACACCGACACACACTTACACATATTTATACTCACCGACACACATCAAGTGCTCACAGACACATGCATCTACACATACAGTAGACTACGGTTATAACGAACTCGAGGGGACCACTTATTTTAGTTCGTAATAACCGTAGTTCGTTATACAACAAATGGCCGGGAGTAAAAATAAGTCCGTTATATCCGTCAGTTCGTTATACGCGTGTTCGTTACAAACGTAGTTTACTGTATATACACACGCATGTACACATTTAGGTACACTGATACACGTCAATATACACCCTACTTGACATAACTATAACTTACATGTGGATGAGTTTCAGGACGAACACTGGATCCGCCCGTCTTCTCAATCTTCTGGGATTCATAATTTGATTGGCGACATGATGCGGAAATAAAAATATCATTGATACATTCAAGATGGCACAACTCGATGTCAATATTTCTGAAAATGACAGATCTGTCCTTCATTTTATCTGTCATCTGAAGTCTACATTCCTTTGTGCTGCACGTGGAAAGTACATGTACCAACATGATGTAAACAGTTGTTGCTAAAGCTAGCTGCAGACTGCTTCTTGAAACCAGCGTCATCATCTTGAACTGTTAACAGGGGAGTGCAGGATCCACACGCTAAGGCGACTGCCGGAGACTGCACTTGAACGGTTACGCTATCACCTGCAGCAGTTGTTTTCGGGACATCACGTGACATTTTACACATGACGACGATGACTCTCAAGCGATCAATATGATGCACATGTTTAAACAATTGCAGACACCAGCAATAGAGATTCAGATACCTTCACTTGGTGCAAGCTGTAAAATGAATGTTGCTGCAGTTAATTACAGTCTATCACTATTATTGAGTAAATGGGATTTAGCGAAGGGCGAGCAATATTCCAGTTATGCTTCGATATGGGAAACAACAAATAAGCTTTACAGTATATCTTTTTGAAATTCCATTCATATAGTTAGTGCTTTACTACCATCATCCCTAAAATCCCATCCTCGACATCCACACAACTGAAATCTCCATCAACCTACACAATCATCACCCCAACTATTCTTTCACCTACTCCACCATCAACACAACAGTCCCATCACCTAAAGCACCATCAACCCAAAGTTTCCATCACCTGAACAACCGTCATTCCTTCTATCCTATCACTTACTCCACCATGAACCCAACAGTCACATCACCTACATCACCATGAACCCAACAGTCACATCACCTACACCACCATGAACCCAACAGTCACATCACCTACACCACCATGAACCCAACAGTCACATCACCTACATCACCATGAACCCAACAGTCACATCACCTACACCACCATGAACCCAACAGTCACATCACCTACACCACCATGAACCCAACAGTCACATCACCTACACCACCATGAACCCAACAGTCACATCACCTACACCACCATGAACCCAACAGTCACATCACCTACATCACCATCAACCCCAAAATTCCATCCAGAACATCACGACCACAACAGTCATCATCATCATCATTTATTGTATTCAGGCCATAGGCCCATATTCATACAATAATATTATATCTATACAATTTTGTACATGTACAAGTATAAACATGCAGACTTATATGCACAGAGATGTGCACGTGTACAATTTTTTGAAAATATATCGCATCACAACACAACAAGAAGAAATTAAAGCATTTGATTAATAAAGGCAAATAACCTCAAGAATAATTAAACATCATTTGTACAAAGATGGTTGCGAAGTCATAAACCATAATTAATGTATAGGATAGTATTCTTTTGTTGCTCGTTAGATATTTCATCAAAACGGAGGAGCTTGATAAGTGTATTGATGTTTTGGAGTAAACCTTGGAAATATTTTGTTCTGAGCTATTCATAACATGGACATATAAGCATAAAGTGGTATTCGTTTTCAATAAATGTGAGGCAAAAAGGACAAAAACGCATATTTTTTTAAACTGAGGAAAAACGACCCGTATTACATACTTAATTGTTCAAACCTAATCTAAAACGTGTAAAACACACTCTAAGTTTTCTGTCTGTTATTTCTCTTAAGTACTGTTTTCTGCAGATAAGCAGGATTTAAATGTTTTATAAAGGTCGTATCTTGAACTATTTTCCAATGTAGCTCTCCATTCTTGGATAAACATATCAGATGCAACTTGTTTAAATACACTAACAAACGCATTTCATAACATTTACGTGGAATACGATCAGGTGATATTTTTGTAATCTTTAACCAATATTTTAGACTGCGTACATAAGAACAGATATACAGTTACATCATCTACACCACCATCACGCCAAGATTCCTATCAACTACACCAACCATTCTTCTCATTGCCGCAGTTTATGTGGAGGTTCATGGCGTTCACCGTTTAAATTAGCAAAAAGGTCAACAAGAAGACAAAAGAATTCACAGGCATAACAGTTAACTATTCAGTAGTGCATCCGTTTATCAGCACACGGCTTCTGAAATTTTCATCTAACGCCTCAATATCGTTGAATATTTTTACCCTTATTGCCAAATTATCACATTTTGTCTATTTAAGGATTCATATGCCATTTCGAAAGTACATAAAGGCCACAAACGAGAGTCATTAATAGCTGAAATCGTTGTCACATGATCAAAACACAACCACCCATTCTTGACTACATCCAGCTCGCCCTTGATAAAATTCCGGAAAAAGGATATCGTATATCACATTTTTTCTATAACCAAATGGAATGGTTTTCAGGAGGGGTCAATAACAAAACCCTAATACAGTACGGCATTTCGTTTGAACCCGGTGTAGACGTGCATAGGATATAATCTATCGCATATTCATATCAAATAGCACATAACACGAATGGGAAAACCCCAGTCACATAACACATACCACACAACAACATCACAGAACACCTATCAAATAACATATATCATACTTCACATATCTTTTCAACAGAACGTGTATCTACGTACACCCTGGTAAATGTGACAAGGTCCACATTTCACCCAATCATTTAAAGACTTCTTCATACTGGAAATACACCAATTCCAAAGTCACAGGATCATTACATGTGTAGCTACATCTATTTACGAGTTTTATACCTTACAAGAACTTAGACTTTTTTCGGAATTTTATCAAGGGCGAGCTGAATGTAGTCAAGAATGGGTGGTTGTGTGTTAATCATATGACAACGATTTCAGCTATTAATGACCCTCGTAAATTTTTCCGAAAACCAACGTGTGTGTCCTTTATATACTTTCATAATGGCATGTGATAATATTCAACGATATTGAGGCGTGAGATGAAAGTTTTAGATGCTGTGTGCTGATAAACGGATGCACTAATGAATAGTTAACTGTTATGCCTGTGATATTTTCTTGCCTTCTTGTTGACCTTTTTGCTAATTTAAACGATGAAAGTCACGAACCTCCACATAAACTGCAGCAATGAGAGGAATGGTTGGTGTAGTTGATAGGAATCTTGGCGTGATGGTGATGCAGGTGATGTGACTGTTGGGCTGATGGTTGTGTAGGTGATAGGATAGAAGGGATCATGGTTGTTTAGGTGATGGAAACTTTTGGTTGATGGTGCTTTAGGTGATGAGACTGTTGTGTTGATGGTGGAGTAGGTGAAAGAATAGTTGGGGTGATGATTGTGTAGGTTGATGGAGATTTCAGTGGTGTTGATGTTGGAGATGGGAGTTTTGGGTAATGGTAGTAAAGCACTAACTATATGAATGGAATTTCAAAAAGATATTCTGTAACGCTTATTTGTTGTTTCCAATATCGAAGCATAACTGGAATATTGCTCGCACTTCGCTAAATCCCATTTACTCAATCAAAGTGATAGACTGTGATGTTGATGTAGGTGATATAACTGTTAGGTTGATGGTGGTGTAGGTGATGTGACTGTTGGGTTGATGGTGGTGTAGGTGATGTGACTGTTTTGTTGATGGTGGTGTAGGTGATGTGACTGTTTTGTTGATGGGAGTGTAGGTGAAGGGACTGTTGGGTTGATGGTAGTGTAGGTGATGTGACTGTTGGGTTCATGGTGGAGTAGGTGATAGGATAGAAGGGATGACGGTTGTTTAGGTGAGTGACACTTTGGTTTGATAGTGGTTTGGGTGATGAGACTGTTGTGTTGATGGTGGAGTAGGTGAAAGAATAGTTGAGGGGATGATTGTGTAGGTTGATGGAGATTTCGGGAATGGGAGTTTTGAGATGATGGTAATAAAGCACTAACTATATGAATGGAATTTCAAAAAGATATACCGTAACGCTTATTTGTTGTTTCCCATAACGAAGCATAACTGGAATATTGCTCGCACTTCGCTAAATCCCATTTACTCAATAATAAAGATAGACTGTAATTAACTGCAGCAACATTCATTTTACAGCTTGCACCAAGTGACGGTATCTGAGTCTCTATTGCTGGTGTCTGCAATTGGTTAAACATGTGCATCATATTGATCGCTTGAGAGTCATCGTCGTCATGTGTAAAATGTCACGTGTTGTCCAGAAGACAACTGCTGCAGGTGATAGCGTAACCGTTCAAGTGCAGTCTCCGGCAGTCGCCTTAGCGTGTGGATCCTGCACTGTCCTGTTAACAGTTCAAGATGATGACGCTGGTTTCAAGTAGCAGTCTGCAGCTGTTTTTAACAACTGTTTACATAATGTTGGCACTGTCCACATGCAGCACAAAGGAATGTAGACTTCAGTTGACAGATAAAATGAAGGACAGATCTGTCATTTTCAGAAATATCGAGTTGTGCCAACTTGAATGTATCAATGATATTTTTATTTTCGCATCATGTCGCCAATCAAATGATGAATCCCAGAAGATTGAGAAGACAGGCGGATCCAGTGTTCATCCTGAAACTCATCCACATGTAAGTTATAGTTATGTCAAGTATATTGACGTGTATCAGTGTACCTAGATGCGTTCATGCTTGTGTACATACAGATGTATGTGTAGATGCATGTGTCTGTGTATACTTGATGTGTGTCGGTGTGTATAAATATGTGGAAGTGTTTGTCGGTGAGTGTAGATGTATGAAGATGTGTGTCCATATGTATAGATGTGTGTTTCGGTTTGTAGAGTTGAGTGGATGCGTGTCCGTGTGTGTAAATGTGTGTCGGCGTGTGTATGTGTGTGTCAGTGTGTGTAGATGTGTGTAGATATGTGCACGTGGAGGCGTATGGAGGTGTGTGTCAGTGTATGTGCATGTGTGTACAGATGTGTAGTTCTGTATATGTGCGTGTAGATGTGTCTGGATATGTGTGTACATGTGTATATGTGTGTGTATATGTGTGTCAGTGTGTTTAAGTAT